GCTGGAAATCAGTGTGGAAAACTCTTAAGAAACTGAAAATAAATCTCCCATATCATCCAGTTACACCACTCCTTGGCATATACCCAAAGTGCTCAACATGCTACTGCAGAGATACTTGCTCAGTTATGTTTGTTGCTGTTCTTTTCATAATAGATAGGAAATGGAAAAGCTTAAATGTCCCTCAACCAATGAATGGATGATGAAAATGTGGTACATTTACACAACAGAGTTTGACTCAATGGCAAAGAAAAATGAAATCATGAAATTTTGGGGTAAACAGATGGAACTAGAAAGTGTTATACCGAGTGAAGCAACACAGACAGAAACACAAGTGACGTCTGTTCTCTCTCATTTGTGAATCTTAGCTCCAAATCCTTAAACATGAGTTATCATGTAACCTTAGGAGCCAGGAAAACAGAAAGGAACCATGGTGGTAAAGAAGAAAGAGCTACAAAGAGCTCGAGAGAGGGGGGAGAGTAGGAGACCGGTCTTATCAAGAGGGGAAAGAGGCATCCTGAAAGGGAGTAAGGATGGTTATACAGGAGTAGAGAGAAGAGAGATATGTCATGCTTAGGTGGTATGAAAAACCAGAGAGAGAGATGTACTAGTTCAAAAACCTTCTGAAAATACACATGGAATATTGAACTGATGCTTCCTCCCTGTGGACTAGCTCCTCTCATATTATCAGAGCAAGCTACCAAGGGAGAAATCCAGTCAATGTACAAATACATGCACAAAGCCTAATAAACATTGCAATGGCTGGCCCAGAAAACTGCCTCTATTGGTGCTGCAGTGGCACTTTTATCTTGGATTTAATCAACAGCTGTCTAATTGAATTTAAAGCTTGCTCAATGGGAAGAACAAGTAAGTGGTGGTGTAAGCATACTGGAATAGGCATGGCTGCAGAAGGCACAGATCATAGTGAAAAAACTCTACTTTTTTGTTATGTGCTTAGACAAACATAATTTCTTACTTTATTCTAAATATGTATCCTTATATCTACAGAAAAAAATGTACCTGTCATCACTCAGCAAAGAAGCCTCATTTTGCAACATATAGACACTATTACCAAGTTCCACAACTGGTAAATGCAGAGGATAAGTATATAAGGTGCCCAGCCCTAAATGACACATCTACAATGCATCTTCTGTATCTGAGGCTCAGGGAACATAGTGAAACATGGTAAAGAACGAATGAGAATGTACCTCTCAGTTCTCACCAGAGAAGCTTTTTCATACAGCAGATGGTGATTAACACAGAAAGCTACAACTGGCCAAAATGCAGAGAATAAGAGACTGCAGAGTGCTTTTCCCCAAATAGTACACATATATCATATCTGTTAAGGCTCAGGGAACATGGAGGAAGATGGGGCAGAAAGATTGTAAGTGCCAGAAGTGGCAGAAACAGTTTTCCAGAGAGCTGGAAAGTTTCTCATATGAAATTACAGAAATGGTAACAGCAAGCTCAAGCCAGACAAAATCCAAGCATAAAAGTTGGGAAGTGTGTAAAAAGCCCCAACCTCAGCTGAGGAACTGTTGGCAATCAGTAACTTCTGGGAGAGGGAGAGTTGGTTTTCTTTAAGGACATGATGCTAGACAGGTTAATCAGTTTGCAGTGGGTGGACACACACCAAAGACCATTTTGGACACAAATGAGTCAATATGCCTTAATATATATGACAGACACATGAAACCTGGAGGGGTGCCCTAAGGGGGTGTAGTAATGGGAGGGCTGTCTAAATATTATCAAAACATATTGTAGGAATTCAGCATATTACATTATATTGAATTTACTAAAATTCAATTTTAAAACTTTAAAAAAGTAACAGACAAATTCCTAAAGGCACTTCGTACAAAGTGCCTGCCCTGTACTTCCCAAATCTTTCAAGGACAGTCTTCCACCCAGAGCTGGGAAGATGTGGTAAATGGATACAATATTGTCCTGTAACAAAGAAAGCATCATCTTAATACCAAAGAAATCTAAATAAATGATGGACACTAGATCATAATAGGCCACACCTATGTGAGAAATTGATGAGAGTAGCCTGAGTGAGGGGAATGTAAGACCTCTGCTAATCTAACACATATATTCCTTTTCCACTTAGTTGTGTTCAACTTCAAGTCACTCTAAGCAATAAGAACCTGGTATCCTTTTCTTCTAATGTAAATTAAATTTTTATGAATTTCATGCAATATATTTTCATTATATTTAGACCTTCTGCCCTATTTGAAGACCCCCTTTCTACCCTCACCTTGTTCCATATAATATTAAATCTACTGAGTCAGATTTGTGTTCCTAAATGTCATCTGGAAGGAGATAGAAAACCATGACTTGACTAGGTGGGAGTGCTGATCTGAGGAGTTTCTGAAGCTATGTGATCTCTGAAACAAACTCTTCAAGGCACAAACCCTTCCTGGACTTTTCATTAAATAGTTATGCATATGCCTATGTGTTCAATCTTGGGTGCCTGTGTTAGCATTTTAAAATCAGTTGTTGTATGGGTGTAAACTCTAGCAAGCATTATCAGCTGCATCTGGGAGCTTGTTAAACATCTCAGGCCACTCTCCAAAACCATTGCATCAAAACCTTCAGCATTAGGACACACCAAACTAACGCATCAAGCCTCCTGGTGCTTCTGGTACTGCTGAACTTTGACATTATCTTTCTGGACCATATGCTGACATAGTGTCAAATTTTGACTGCTTCGGACTTTGCATGTCCAATGATTGACATAAGAGAGGCAGCATTGGGTTAAGGAACTTGCAAGAGAGTTCATGGAGAGGGACATCTGATCTACAGGAACATGAGCTGGAGGGAATGCTTCCTGACCACTCCATTCAGTGTTTTTATTTTTTTTAATTTTATCATACAGGAATTCATATTTAAGAATGAATATAAAATTTGGAACTAGGATTATGCTTATAGCTTAGTTATTCAATTAAAGTGAACTACGTAACAGTATTTGTTATATGTTGTACATAGAATATAAGAACTCTGGTTAGAGATAAATGAGTTCCCATTCATTGTTATTTGCCGTTAAAGACATACGTGAAACCTTTACTAATCTTATTTTCTCAGGGCCAATGCAACATAAACATAAAGACAGACATTTTTACCAGTGATTTTTTTTGGTGGGCAAAGAGTATTCATTACTGAAAAATTAATTTAAAGAAGCTATGTCTTCGAGAAATGTTAGGTACCCTGATATATTAATAAGATATATTGAATATTAAATGATAGCATTTGATAAATATATTATATCGTGTATGTTCACAGTGAGACATATTACTATATATGATTAGGTTTTATACTTGAAAGAAAATAATTTCTGGGCTTGAATGCAGCTATTAACTTTGTAGACTTATGTGTTTCTCTGTCTCTCTTTGTTCTTTTAGGCTGTACTTTGGAGGTATAAATTTTCTCAGCTTAAAGGCTCTTCAGATGACGGCAAAAGTAAAATCAAATTTTTGTTTCAGAATCCAGATACTAAACAGATTGAAGCAAAGGTAAACACAAGAAAGATGTCACATAATACAACTGTTATTGAATCAATGCCATTAAGAAGCAAAACAGAGAAACTTTAGAGCCAAAGAGCACAAAGACGCTCCTTGCTCACGTGGAAACAACCCTGTGGCACTAGAAGGCATTCACTTTAAAATTTTGAAAGTAGATTTTCAATGAAAGGCATCATTTCAGAAAAATTACACCTAACTGGTCACATTTCTTCATTTTAATTCTATGTGAACTGTATTTGTGTGATACTGAAATATCCTTAAAGCTAAATAGGCCATATGGCAGTTTCTTACTTTTAAGATGTATTTATTTAAAAAATATTTCATTTATTATTTTTTATTTTGTGTGTTTGAGTGTATTGCCTACATGCATGTATGTGCATCTGTGTCATGCAATGGCCACAAAGGTCAGAGACGGCATTGAATTCCCCTAGAACTGGAGTTATGGATGGTTGTTAGCTACCATGTGGGTGCTGAGAAATAAACTCAGGTTCTCTGCAAGAGTACTCAGTGCTCTTAACCACTGGGCCATCTCTCCAGCTCTGAAGATGTTTGTATTTATGTGTGTGTGTGTGTGTGTGTGTGTGTGTGTATGAGTACTTTTCCTGAATTAATGTGTGTATTATGTGTGTGTAAAACCTGAGGAGGCCAGAAGAGGACATCAGATCATCAGGACCTGGACCTGAAATTATGGACAGTTAGCCACTGTGTGAGTGCTGGGGTACCAAACCCAGGTCCTCTCCAAGAGGCCATCTTTCCATCTTCACAATTTCTTACTTGTAAAAAACTGGCTATTTTATAAGTGTATTCCTCAAGTATAGAATACCACCCGAATTTTTTTTTTCAAATTTCAGGGTTTTTTTCCTTAAAATTTTTGAGTTTTTGTAATTTCATGTGACAGATTTTTAGACCTCTCCCCCATCCATTCCCTCCATACCCCCACCAGACTTCATGTATTCCATCATACATGAAATTGAGTACAATCCAGTCAAGCATTTGTACCCAAATGTCCTTCAGTGTAAATTTATCAGGTGGAGTCTAGTAAGCCCATCTGGAAATCATGTATAAGGCATACTCTCCCTCACCAAGTAGTAATCAGTTTCCAATAGTTCTCAGTCTATGGCCTGCCCATAACCTATTTCTCTCCTCCTCTGTTGACCCTTGTTTAATTGAGTTGGCATGTTCCTGTGCTTGATGCCACCATTGCCACAGGGTCACATGTGCAAGGTTCCAGTGGTCTGAAAGCCTCTGCTTCCCTGTGTTCATGAACCAGCCATGGCTCTTACAGCCTTTCTGCCCCCTCTTCTGCAATGGTCCCTGAGCTCTGTATGGGTGTTTCAGTATAGTTTTATTCATGGACACACACTCTTATTCTATTTAAAAAAAAAAAAAATTCTCCCGTCAAGTCCTTGACTAGCAAAAAAGTGAGAAGGAGGTGTGATTACAGCTTGCCATTGTAGCGATTGGAGTACAATTCCAGTTAAGACTCTACCCCTTCCTCCAGCTCTTATATTCATTCTACCAATCTTTTCTGCAAACATCCCTGAGCCTTGGAGAGGGCAATAGGTATGGGATGATCTTTCTCCCTTTGCGACAAGGCACTGAACTTCCAGTTCTTTGCATCATCTGTTTTCATCGGCTGTTGGCCCATATCAGTGGGATTCCATCTGCTATCAAAACACAAACAGGAAGAGAGAAGACTATGGAAACAGTGGCTGTTACAATAGCTTAACCTATGGGTATAAACACAAACGTTTGGATGGTACTGTAGCAGGTGCCTCATTTCCTTCTAACAGAACAATTGCAGTGACTTCCCACTGGGGCCTATGTTCTCCCCTCCCACAGGGGGTTGGCCTGGTCTACAGAATCAGATGTGTGTTCTACCCCTAGGAGCAGGCATTATATCCAATCAAAAATTTGTTTGTTGTACATACACAAGACTTGCCATTATTGCTCCAGCTGGAACATCTTGTTTGGCGTGTTGATAGTGCAGCCTGCAGGGTCCATCAGTGAGCAGAATTATGGGGGATAGTTATGGCACTATGAAAGCCACCCATCAAGTGACAGAGTTTCCAACATAGTTCAAGCTTGATTTCTCCCTCTTCGGCACTCACATCAGCAATAGGGTTTTACCGTCTGCTTCCAGTGTACAACCAGCACTGTTGGCAATGGC